AGGGTACGTTCGTAAAGTCGAACGAGTTAAACGAGAATGACGTCATCGTTATTCTTATTTAGTTAGACTTTTCGAACGATTCGTTTATAACTAAATGGCTGTTTCTAAAATCGAAGATATGAATGTTGTTAGTGCAGCCTTATCCGAAATATTTTTCTTAAATTTCTTCGGGTGGACAGTTATTTCAATCATTTCATCTTTTAATTCACAATTTAAACACTCGAGTAGATTTAGAAACATCGATTTCGTCGGCCGCCATTTTCTTAACAAAGTGAACTAACTCTTTCCTTCGTGAACTTCGTTAGAGTTTCGTTCGAAACGTCATCACCGCAGAGCATGCGCACTGAGCGAGACTACTACTTTTCGAACGATTCGTTACTAACGCGTTTAACTCGTTCGACTTAACGAACGTACCCTATATTTAAAATATGCAAAATATTGCAAAGTCCTATGACAGGTGAAGTATGATGTTTATTTTCATTTTCAATATCTAAAAATAATGAATACTTTAAAAAATTCATGTGTGATGTCATAAAAACAATCAGAAAGGATCACCATTTTCAAATTTCATTACATTTTATATGCATATTGTGAAATTTTGCTTACCTGTTACACATTCATGTACACTATCACCATCAAGAACTCTAGATTCCTCTGTCCATCTGGCTAATGCAGATGGAATACTAGCAAGAGTATTTGAAGGCCCTCCAGAAACAGGTGTATTTTGATCCTATAATTAAAAATATGAATAATTATTGATACTACTATTAATGTAAATAATACCAATTTAATATCAATAAATTTTACACACATTTGATTATGACTATGTAATAACCTATATTTCTTAACTAAACAAACCTATATTTATCAACAGAAATAAAAATAAATAGAGACAAATATCAACATTTATCAATAAATCTGTTTTAAAAATGCACACTCTAATAACCAAAATATAAGTAAAAAAATTGTTTAATTAAAAACAATATGAACAACATTTATCTCTCATACTATTAAATAATTCATATGACTGTTTTTATAGTATTACTAAACAGGTGTAATTTTGTGCACAAAAGTATTCAACTTCTTTACATATAAGTAATGAATCACTAAATAAAAGTAAGAATTTATAGTTATGCAACATGTAGTACAAGAAATATTAACTTTTTATAAATTCTTTTAAAAAATGTGGGAAAAACAAGATTTAATAAGATCAAGCAATTTGAAATACAATTGAATTAAAAAAAAAAGCTAGAGAACAAAAATGATCTAATTTGAAAAATTTCCTACCATAACCTAAAACTGCTAAATGAAGTTTTTCACAAAAACTTAATTTTGAAATATTTCATTAGTTCAAAATCAGAACAGTTGGAAAAGCTAATAAAATGTATTTGTTAATATTTAAATAACTTTATGCACCTCAATATCATTATTAGTTTATATGTTTGCTTCACAACATGTTATAAAATGTCTTTAGCTCATTTTCAAAAAATAATTTAACTTTTAGCATTTTTTTAATTTACACATTTTATAAAATAGAAAAATGAAAAATGTACTAAATATAATAACAGAAAATCATGACTAGATAATAAAATTAATAATAAAAGAAAACAACAAAAATCTTTACTTGAATTTCAAATACATCTTCATCAGTTGCTAATATACGAAGGTCACTATTGGCAAAAAATACACGTGCTTGGCCTGAGGTTGGATGAGAACTAAAAGTTGAAGTCAATTGTAATATATCTTGAGCAGTATTTGGACCAAGTAATCTGAATGGGAATAAATATCAAGATGTAAATATCATTGTAATATTAATAATTTTGATAAGCAATTCTTAAATTATACCTCTGTAAAATTGCTGGAGGATTAGGATGACGTCCACTACTTGTATACATATGCCAAGTTTGATTTCCAAGAGCAGGTCTATAACCTCTTTGTCTATTAGATCTGTGTAATCTTGAAGCAACAGCACCTTGTGGATCTCCATGTCTTACTAAGAGTGGATGCGTTGGGGTAACATTACCTGGAGCTGGTGGAATGGATGGGGCTAAAAAAAGTACCAAATCATTAATAAAATTCATTTTATTAATTTAAATACTAATGTTAAACATATGCAATTTTTTAACAAATGTTCTATATATATATATCATATTGTAATTGTTATAAATATTAAATTTATCTTATTGATAAAACTGTTTAGACATCATACAAAATAAAATTTTGAACAAATCTGCTTGCATGTGTTTCTGTAGTAAACTTTAAAAGATTTGTTCTCAAATCCTGTAATTTAACCTAAAAATTACCAGTAAATGTATGGATTCAATATAAGAAGTCTTTATAACTTTATTAATTTCTTTTTCAAAATAATTTTCAGTTGACAACTTGATAATTGATAATTTTCAACTAAGTTTCAAACATTCATTCTTTTCTAAAATAAATGGATAAATCAACAGGTATATGAATAAACACTAGAAAATACTATTTAGTCAAGAAAATTAAGCAAACACTAGTCTTTTTCAATCCTAAATTCCTTTTATGTTACTTTTTTTTATTCTAAGATTTTCAAAGAATTTTTTTATTTATAAAAACTTTAGAAATCCTTACCTGAATTCTCTGCACTATTAGTGTTGTCATCAGTAACAACAGGAATTTGAAATGTGCGAAATCCATCTGATCCACCAAATACAATAGATGATGTTCCTGAGTATGGTAATTTAATTTTTAGGATTTAAATTTTTATAAATTATATTCATTTTAAAAATTTGACAAAGTCTTTAAATTAAGAATTATCATTTATTCTGATCACACATAACTTGATTTATTTTCTTCCATTTTTTCAGAGTAAAATTTTTTAAAAACATGAGTAAATCAAAGTTTAAAACTAACTAAAATAAATATTTAACTTTTGGTTACTTAAAATTTTGTTCAGTGAATGGATACAATTTATCTAAATTTATCTTCAGAAAAGATACTATTTATCTCAAATACTACCAATATGAATTAAAAAATAAAACACGTTTTCCTTTTCTTTTTGCTAAAATTTTTTGCAAGTTTTTTAAAATAAAAATTCATTATTAAATCAGTATAAATACTTGTAGTAGTGTGTTACATTCTAAACTTGAAATATAGCTCTTAAGCTACATTTAAAAATTATTTCAAAGTTTGTTAGCATGTTGGATAATTGATGTAATTACAACTAGTTCAAGTAGTCTAGAATAATTTTAGCTCCATCACAAAGTGCCAAACCTTGAATAACAATAACAGAGTTAAATAAAAATAAAATTATAAAAAAATAAAAGACCAAGCTAAATATCTCCTTATTTAATGTACATTTTCATTTTTAAAAACTTAATTTCTAAATAAAGTATTAAAAGGTCATAATTTTTTACTTAAGTGAATGATATTCAAAAAATTTAGACCAATTGAAATCATGTTCAAAAATTTAATATGAAATATATTAATAAATATTGTCCAATTATAAACAATAGTGCTTGTAATTTACTAAATTATGTAAACTGTATTGAAATATAATTTGCATATTGTATTGAATAAATTAAAATCCAGCAACTGTCACAAAAGCAGGGCAAACACCATGAGCAAGAAACAACAATTAAGCCTGGATCACAGCCAAAATTATTGCTTTACATGAAGAAAATATTAAGCAACAAGAAATAGCAAGGAAAGTGAATTGCTAGAAGTTTACAATGCAAAAAATAATTCAAAAATGAGCACTAAGAAAAATTATAAACAAAGTAGACATGCAAGCTTGAAATAGATGTCACAAGAACTGAAATCTATGATTAGAAAACCATTTTCAAAAACAATGGTTTACAGTTGTTTGAAGGAGATGGGTTATAAAGTAGCCAAATCAAAAAGAAACTTTATTCGACAAAAGTTTAAAAGAAAAAATCATTAACCTGGCAAAAAAAAAAAAAAAAAATGCACATTACATCCAAGAATGGCTAAGAAGTTACTTTTAGTAACAAAAGTATGTTTTGTGTTGATTTAAATAATGGAGGAACACTTTAGCACTTGGAATGTGAAACAAAAAATCCATATTGTTTACAATGGATCATTAAATTTTCCATTAACATTATGGAGTGAAGTTTACTTGACTATAATGGACTTGTAAAATTGTTTTCTTAATGAGACAGTAAATAATGATGTATATAGTGATATTTTAGAATATTTCCTTATTCTAACAATGGAAGTTCTTTTTCAAGATGATGTAATCTTTCAACTAGATGGAGTTAATGGTCATACATTCAAAAAATGCCAAAGAATGATTTACATCTAAAAAAATAAAGCCCTTGAATTTGCCTGAAAACTCAAGACTTGTTCCCAATTGAAAATATTTGTCCATTTGTAAAAAATATTGAAACAATCTAACCCAACCAATGAACAAGATTTAAAAGAAAAAACTTAGAAAAATTTGGTCTGAAATTAATCTTGAACGATGTCAATAACTTATTGATGGTATGACAAACAATTAAGTCTGTATTTCATAAAAAAAGAGGCATAACAGACTATTAGAACAAAATTCTAAACTTTTTGAACCAACTGTATATATTTGAAAATATCATTTCATTTATTATTGTGGTTGTGCTAAAAAATTTTTGTGGTGAATTTATTTTTCTCCAAAGTTTATTTATTTAAGCCAAATTTATAATATATTTTAGCAATACAAAATAAATTTATATAATGTTCTGAAAACATATTCAACAGATTTCCAAACATTAACAATGAACTGTTTTAGAATTCTTCAAGCCCTACCTCAGGGGTGGCCAAACCGTGGCGCATGCGCCAAACTTGGCGCATTGGACGATTACAAGTGGCGCTTTAGTCAGTTCTGAGCAACATTGCCAGATTTGGCTTCTTTGCAATTAAGAATATTACATAGAAAATTAATTTTTTATAGTCTGTCTTGGCAAGTTCATTTGTTGCACAATTCGTTGCAATCAACTTTACAGATAAAATGTACTCCACATAGTAAATTACAGTGTATGCATGTATGTTTATTTTCGATCAGTGCATAGGCGTCTAAATGACAGTGCTACCGTCCGGACAGTCCACGAGTCGGTTGGACTGCTACACCTGTTGACCTTTTTTTTTTTTTTTTTTTTTTGCTTCTACGATTCACGATACATTCGCAATCGTGTATGCCACTAATGTCAAACGGGACTATTTTGTACGGGTAACTACACCACCACCGCATTTTTTATTAATTTTTTTTTCACACAACTGAATTTTGATCTTTTAAATTGAAATACCTGATTAAAGGGTGGCCGAAATTTTTCTCCGCCCCGGGCGGCTAACACCCACGGTACGCCACTGCGCATCTGAACTCGTCTATCAAAAAATTGGCGCATGGTATGCAAAAGGTTGGCCACCCCTGCCCTACCTCATTTTTTGATTTTGAATAAAATGGAACAAATTTATTAATATAGATATATATTTCAAATCCTTAATACATTGTATATACTATTATAAAACATCCAGAACATATTAAGATTATTTCATGAGAAAGTCTCAATTTTGTCTTTTTCAATATTAATTTTTTTACTAATGCTTCAACACCTTAAATATGTGTGTATAATTTGTGTAAAAATTTACTCTTATTATATATGTCTAGTCTAAAATTAATTTCAGACTAGTTATTTAATAAGAATGCAATCATAAATCTCTCCTTAAGCAGAAATTTGTGATTGCAACAAAAACCATTTATTTCAAACAATTATATTTCCTCAAAGCATTGATTCACTCTAAATGTCAAAAATTTTATGTACAAAACAGTTTTATAGAAAAGACAATTTTTATATTACATAATTTTCTTACTTTTAATTCAATCTTTTCTATCTCAATACTTAGTCATTTAATATTAGCAAATTCACTAATCACATAAATTTCTTAATAAAAAAATGTTCTCCTAGAAAAATTGTTTAATTCAGTTATTAGACTATAAGTAAGGCATTATAAAAAAACAGATGTTAAGACTTCATTAAATACTCTATACATTATAACAATCACGGCATAATTAAAATTTATTATATTTGATTATCTGAACTAACCAAAAGTGTTTAATACTAATAAGAAATAACCAAGTTCGAAGAAAATTAATAATTAATAAGTATGCAATGATCGCCAGTAAAACGTGGAAGACCGCCAACTAATAGAAGCAAACCGGAAAGCAAAAAGACGCAATCAGGTACTGTACATCTAATTTCAAGCTTATTACGGACTACAATTTATCAATGGATAAAGAATTACAGGAATTGTCTATGGCAAACAATAGTTCACATATGGATATATCTAAACAAAATCTACAAAGCTCTCCAGGTGAGTCCAATATAATTAATTCATCTACTCCAATAACTTCGAATGACACTTTCACAACAGATTTATGGAATAGGATATCTGAACTGATTAATACTTCTAATGATAAACTATCTACACAAATGGAATATATAAAAGAAGAACTGAATTTAATTCACGGTACTATATGGGAAAATAAAATTCAATTTGAAAAAATGGAAAGTTCAATAGATAATCTAAAAATTCAAATTGACAATTTAAAATCTGAAAAGGAACTAATACAGTATAAAATGGATACTTTAATTAATGACTGTCATTATAATAATATAGTAATATACAACTATCCTTTGTCAAAAAGCATTTCCAAACCAGAAATTCTTAAATTCATCAACTTAACATTAAACCTAAATAATGTAACTCAGGAGGATATCCTAGATATAATTCAAATAACCAAATCAACCAACCAGATTATAAAACTATCATTTAGTACGAAACAGACTCGTGATCAAACATATAATGCTTTCATATCAAAGAAACAACATAAATTAATGGAAGACTGAAGTAATATACAGATAGCACCTGATCTTACCAAAGAAACATGTAAAAGAAAAAAACATTTATCACCAATATATTATGAATTAAGAAAACAAAACCAATCAGTTAAACTACGCAACAACACACTGCTAATAGACCGCAATAAATTAACTTTTAGTATTAATACAGGAAAATTAGTTTACGTGGATACCTTTCAGGCTTTTTTTGCTCCACCAGAATCATCAAGTTGATATTTATAACAAAATAAACCTCACCAAGAAAAAACTACAGTCGACCCCCCTATAATTATGGTTCCTATAAAACTACGAAAAAATTGTGACCGGTATCCGTAAAAAACAGTAAAAATTCCCTATAATTACCTCAAACGTCATCAAGCAGCCGAACTACTTTCCCGCCATCCGTAGCGCCATGCTACAGAGAGATTTCTATCGTCTGGACAGTATTATATAAATTATATATAAATTAGGTACTGTACATATAATTATATATTAATTATATATAAATTAGGTACTGTATATATAATTATATATTAACTTATTGTAACTTTGTTATAATTAAATATATAATTTCCGCCGTCTAGCGTGGCGCCACGCTACGGAGATTTTTACGCTAACTATCGTCTGTCAGTATGTAAATTAGGTACCGTAAGTCTAATACAGTACTGTAATTTTATACATTTCTTGTGAAAGAAACATTTCTTATTCAACGGCGATTAAAATTATTTATATTAATGATGTCTCCGAAGTTC